GCAGTGCAATGCTCTCGTTTTCCTGCCTCCCATAGAAAGATTACCCCACCATGTTTTAACTCATCTTTCACATCTCCAGAATGTTGTGGTAATATGCAGCAACCAAAACTCTGAATGCCTGGGGCCTCTCCTTACCTTTGATCATGAAAACTTTCAAGTTCATATTCTGAGTCTTGCAACTATTTTTCAGAAAGCATCTTTGAAACACTCTCATAAACCTTTCTCCCACTGGATGAAATCAATGAGACTGAAAAATTTAAAGATTTTACCTTGTTCAGTTTTTCAGCCAACAGAGAAAGATGAGAAGACAGACAACACAACCTTATCCACTCTTGCCTGCAAGTCTCTCCCATTTGTTGTGATGAAAACTAACGTGCACAACAGCTTCACTTCTGACATACCAATGTATGCAGCCCAGGAGAGGCTGTTTAAGCAAAATGCTGTTTACATCGTCACAGGGGGTCTGTCTGGTCTTGGTTTTGAAACTGTAAAGTTTATTGCTCAAAACGGAGGAGGATGCATTGTGATTCTTTCCCGGAGAAAGCCCAGTGCTGAAGTGCAAAAGGAAATAAATAATTTGCAGAGTGAGAATGAAAGGAGCAAAATAGTCAGCCTGCAGTGTAACATCATATTTAGGCCTGAAGTTGACCGAGCTATCGTTTCAATTAGCAAAATCTTCCCAAAGTGTTCCATCAAAGGGGTATTCCACAGTGCTGTGGTTTTTCATGATGGATCAATTGAAGCTTTAACTTTTGCTACCTTTGAAAAAGTTTTAAGTCCAAAGGTTGCTGGAGCCATCAACCTTCACCATGCGACTCAGGGGCAGGACCTTGACTATTTTGTATGCTATTCGTCAATTACTTCCTTTCTTGGAAACGCGATGCAAGCAAACTACGCTGCTGCCAATTCCTTCCTGGATCTCTTCTGCCATTATAGGAGACATTGTGGATTGTCAGGACAATCCATTAACTGGGGTGCTTTGAATCTTGGAGTACTACACAATCAAAGTCAGCTTCAAAATCTTTTAAAGGAGAAAGGCATAGAGATTCTGCAAGTCAATGATTTTTATGAATATCTTAAAATTTGCTTAACACAAAACAATCCTCAGCAAGCCGTTGTGAAGTTCAATTTTAAAACATTATTCAGTCAAAGGAAATACCTATCTCGCATGTATGCAATTGTGACAGAAGCGTTGGGCAGCAATCTT